TCTACTACGTGCTAGCCTGCTGCCCGCCCTCACTTCTTGACCTTGCCCTGAGCAGCGACAGCCTCCATGGCCTTGCGCACCGTCTCCTCATCCCCCAGGAACTGCATGGGCTTGACAGGTTTCAGGTTCTTATCCAGCTCATAGACGATAGGGATGCCGGTGGGCAGGGTCAGCTCCATAATGGCCCCAGAAGACAGAGGCACTGTCACTCATGGCCCTGCTTGCACAGTGCCAGCTGGGGCAGCGGGGAGACCCCCCCAATACCCCTGCAGGGCTGACGTACCTTCCAGGTGCTTGACAATCCCACGCAGGCTATTACCGTGGGCAGCAATAAGGACTCGCTTTCCCTCTTTGATCTGTGGAACGATTTCCTCATTCCAGAAAGGCAGAGCCCGGGCGATGGTGTCCTTCAGGCTCTCGCACGTTGGCAGCTGGTCCTCTGTCAGGTCAGCGTACCGACGGTCCTGGGGGAACGGCCACGCTCATGCAGCAGCCCAACGCAGCGTGGGAAGGCAGCAGCAGAGCCTTCACCCCCCCACCCCAAATTCTCTGCCTGGGGACCTGCTACATGTAGGCAAAGCCAGGCTTGGAAGAAAGGAAGTGCCTTTAAGGTTTGAGGCCGAGCTCAGCTACGGTCAGGGCTCTGAGCCCCTCCTAGGGAAAGCTGCACATCGCTTGCTCTGGGGAAAGAGACCGGAGCAAACATCCATGCACAGGTCATGGGACTAATGATTAACAGAGGTATTGTCCCTTCTGCTTTGAATCTGTCCATACAACGCTCAGGGGTTCAACTCCCCAAGAAGGGAGCGGGACAAGCTCAGCCCAACGCCAACCAGCACCATGCACGACAGTCCTGGCTGCTGCAACAGAGGCAGAGGAGACCTTGCGGAAGAAGCAGTGCATGTCGCAGGGACCTAAGGTAGCTTTTAGGAGCTTGCTGGCCAGGCAGACGGAGAGCAACGGGTCTTACCTTGCTGATGGTGCTGTAGAAGGGGTGATCGGACTGCATGGGAGGTGGAGGGATGTCGTACGAGCGCCTCCAGATCTTCACCTGCGCCTCACCATGCTTCGCTGCCGTCTCAGCCTTGTTCAAACCGGTGAGGGCCCCGTAGTGCCTCTCGTTCAGGCGCCAGGTTCGGATAACGGGTAACCACATCTGATCGATGGCATCCAGGACGGTCCAGAGGGTACGGATGGCCCGTTTCTGTACCGAGGTGAAGCAAATGTCGAACTCATAGCCGGCATCTGGAAAAGACCGGGGAAAGGGGGGTGGGAGGGGACACCGGGGAAGTGAGTGCCGCGCCTTACGCAACCGGTGAAGGGCCAAGGGCGGCGGCCT